CTGGTCTTGTATTCCTTGTTGAAGAATTTAAAACATTATTCATTGCTGCCACTGTCTACAGAGAGTACCCTTATCCATTCAGCCTATTCAAGGCTTCCATGTAGATTTTGCCAGGTTAAAGAGTAGTAGTACAATGAAGTGTGTGGAGTTAATGTCATTGTAAAGACTTACTGGCATTTTTGCCCGGCCAGTATGGCTCAGTGGCTTGAGCCACATGGACTGAGAGGTCCTAGTTTGATTCCTGGTCAGGGCACATGCCCAAGCTGCGGGCTCAATCCCCAGAATGGGGTGTGCAGGAGGCAGCTGATCAATGTTTCTCTCTCACATTGATGTTTCTCTCTAAAAAAAATCAATAAAAATGTATTAAAAAAGACTTATTGGCATTTTATAAAAATATGTTTGCCTGTCAACAAAAACGGATGTCTACCACTAATGATGTATTCTTTTTCAGATTGTTCAGTTTGGCATGAATGAAAAGGTTGGGCAAATTTCCTTTGACCTTCCACGTCAGGGTGACATGGTATTAGAGAAACCTTATAGTGAAGCCACTGCAAGACTGATAGATGATGAAGTACGAATCCTTATTAATGATGCTTACAAAAGAACAGTAGCTCTTCTCACCGAAAAGAAAGCTGATGTGGAGAAGGTAGGTGCCAGTTGTACAAATAATTCTATACACAGTTTTGCATAAAAAGTTGAAAATGATGATCAGCTCTGTGGTTGGTTTATAGATGTCAGCATTTCTGTATCTGGCAAATCCTTGGGTTCCTTCCTTCATTCTGATGTTTCTCTGTGTGCTTTATCTCTAAGGTGGTGGGAATATATGGTGGTGAGCAAAAGCGGGCATGATCCCGGCTCTTGTGGCTCTTAAGAATATGATTGAGGGATTAATAAAGTCCGTTAACATCTACCCAATAAACAATTGAATCTGCACTTCCCCACCAAGTATTTTACCAATACAGTAAATCTTCACTTAATATCATTGATAGTTTCTGCAACCTTAAGCGAAATGACATACAATGAAACCAATTTTACCATAGGCTATTTGGTATAAAACAAGAATTAACTTCCTATGGCCTCTCATCAGCATCATAACAAAACAACATTGAATGAAATGATGTTGAGGTCCTCTTGTACTCCTAAATGTGGAGCACAATGGACTGATAGAAATTTACCATTGTTTTTCGCCTCTGGAATAAACAGTAAGTGACAGATGAAAGGGCACATAAAAGAATTAGCCAATTTTGCCCTGGCCAGTTTGGCTCAGCGGTTAGAGCGTCGGCCTGCGGTCCGGAGAGACCCGGGTTCGGTTCCCGCTAAGGGCACGTACTTCGGTTGCAGTTTGTCCCCGGCCCTGATTGGTCGTGTGGGTGGCAGCCACTCGATGTGTCCCTTCACATCGATGTTTCTCTCTCTTTCTCTCCCTTCCTCTCTCTCCCTCCCACTCTATCTGTACAAAAAATGGAAAAATATCCTCGGGTGAGGATAAAAAAAAAAAAAAAAAAAGAATTAGCCAATTTTGATAAGCAGGAAGTCAGCACATGAAAACTACATTTGGCTTAATTATGAGTATCCATAAATAAACATGCTTCGTGTTTTCATTGTTGTACCTCATTTGGATAGCACCTGCAAAAGGCGTGGATCTTTTTTTGAATTTAGTGAATTTCCTGCATCCAGTAAACTCTTAATTATTCAGAATTCTTGTAACCCAAATTAGAATTTTTTGTACTCTCATAAGAAAAACACCAATGAAAATGCCTGGTAAGGGATTGACACAGATAAAAGAATATTCTAAAGTAGGCTATTCATAAGCAAGTCTCCAGAGAAGCTTTCTGTGAGCCTGCTTGTGCCATGCAATTCTAAAAATCCATGACATCTTTTCACAAAAGTGCACAGTACAACTGGGGAGAGAGCTAGTGTCTGTGAAACACTAGAAAGCATGCAGCAGGAGCTCGGAGAAAGGAAAGACAGGATGGTTGGAAAAGGCTTTGTATAGAATGCAGAGCTTAAATTTTACCTAGAAGGATAGTCAGATTACAGTCCATGGGAAAAGAGCTCTCAGCGTGGAGACCTGATAAGTGGAGAAAGATGTGGGGAAGAGGGCAGGATTGGGCTAGCCTGCCTAGAGCAAATAATTGGGAGAAGGGAGACTATAGTACCCAGGTCCTCAAAAGCTAGGTTGAAAATTTAGAAACACAATTTGTGGAATAAAAGTGACTTTCAAAATCGTCTAATCCAACCCCCTTGTTTATTATGGTAGGGAGTCCTTAAAGAATCTTGAGTGCCCTGGCCGGTTTGGCTCAGCGGTTAGAGCGTCGGCCTGCAGTCCCAAGAGACCCGGGTTCGGTTCCCGCTAAGGGCATGTACTTCAGTTGCAGTTTGTCCCCGGCCCTGGTTGGGTCGTGCGGGTGGCAGCCACTCGATGTGTCCCTTTCACGTCGATGTTTCTCTCTCTCTCTCTCTCCCTCCCACTCTATCTGTACAAAAAATAGAAAAATGTCCTCGGGTGAGGATAAAAAAAAAAAAAAAGAATCTTGAGTAGAAGTGATTTAAGTTCATCGTTTAAAAGGAGAGTGACAGCAGTGTGCCAGCCCCAGTGGGATGGAAGGGACTAGAACAGAGACCAGCGCAGAGCAGTTGTAGGCCTGTGTGTTAACATTCCTGAGATGGTGCTGGTAGTGATAGATCTAAGAAACCAAGAGTTGCTGATTAAAGTTAGTAAGATTTATTAAGTTGAGAATGGACGGGAGGAAAGCCCTTGGGATGACTCCAGTACTCTACCTGGTAGCAGACACGGCCTGGGGTGGGGAGGGGTAAGGGATTCAGTCTTGACACCCAAGAAGACATAAGCAGAAGGCATTTGCAAGTGGTGTGTGGATAGGAGATCCAGGGCATACCTAGGATTTGTTGGTTATCCCCCTACAGCCAATTATTGAAAAGAAAAATGAGCTATAAAAGACAATGGAGGACGGAAGTGCTCACCTGAGATAACTAGCTCTAGAATAGTGTGTGAGTACAGGGATTCCACATGCATGCCATAGATACTCATATGGTTCTAGGGAGTTAAACTCAGTTGCCTACCCTTCCATATGTACAGTACATATATTGACAGTGATTACAAATAAATAACTGTGAAGAGAAAATTAGTCTTCAGATCTTGAAACACCACAGAGTTCTGAAATTCTGCCTGGTCCATTGGAGAAAATTAAATCTGTTAAGAATAATGTCGAGCCAGCCAGGAACCATCAAAAGAAGTGACTGGAGCCTTTGCTGCTAGAGTTAATGCCTTCCAGACTCTGGGCCTCAGTTAACCCATCTATGGGATTATGGGATAAGGAACTGGACAACTTGATCTCTAAGGGCCAAGCTTTAGGAATAAGAGTAATCAGATAACATTTACTTAATATCTTATGTATACCAGGTACTGCCTAAGTGTATTAACTTCTCTTAAATCCTCTGCAAACTTATAAAGCCATTACATTATTATCCCCACTTTACAGATGAAGAAACTAATACATAAAGAATCTTGCTTAACTTTGCTTAAGGTCATCAGGCAGTTAGTTGGCAAGTGGCAGGACCAGGATTCGGACCCAGATGTCCTATCTGCAGAGTCTTTGCTATTAACTCCTAACCAAGCCTGTGCTGTCAGTGTGGCTGATCTGAATTGAGATATACTGTGAGCATAAAAAGCATGCTGGGTTTTGAAGATTTCGTATGAAAAAAGAATGTAAAATATATGTTATTTTTAATATCATTACATGTTGAAATGACAATATTTCCAATATATTGGATTAAGTAGAATATATTCTCACAACTTAAGTGATTACCCGCAACTGTGTAAATAGGCAAATTTGAAAATTAGTCTTTATCTCTTAAAGATATAGATAAAAACATATATGGATAAAATGATATGCTATCTGGTATTTTCTTCATAATAAACCAAGGAGCAGTAGATGAAACAAAAATGGCCCTAAGTTGATAATTATTGATAGTGGTTCGATAGGAATTAGTTATCCATTTTTTTCTACTTTTGTATATATATTTTTAAAAAATGTTTTCCTTTATTGATTTTAGAGAGAGATGAAGGGAGAGGGAGAGAGAGAGAGAGAAACATCGATAAGAGAGAACATCGATTGGCTGCCTCCTGCATGCCCCCCACTGGGGATCGGGCCTACAACCTGGGCATGTGCCCTGACCGGGAATTGAAATGGCTACGCTCAACCACTGAACCACACTGGCCAGACACCTTTGTACATTTTAAATATTCAATAATAATGGTTTTAAAAATTGCAAAGATGGCAGAAAAATATTTTATTATTTGGTATCTTTAAAAACATAGCATTTAATGTAAACTACCGATATGTTGAATTTCTTAGGGAGTTATCTACTAAATCTATTTTATGAGATCAGTTTACAATTTAACTTGCTTTATTCTCTTTCTAATGGTCGGATGCTCACTCTTTTCTATTCTCCTGACACTATCAATCACTGCCATACACATCTTTGGGTGGCCTGTTAAAATGTGTAGTGTCAAATTTGTGGTTGAATCATACAAATGAATAGAACTTCAAGATACATATTTTCATATTAACCTTCCTAGCTTCATTTTGTATCTTTGCCCTTGATTGTCTTTATTATATTCAGCTAACTTTTAAAATTTCCAGCTCACCCTGTTTCTGCCCTTTGCCCCAATACCCCCCCATCTACTTTATGTATCCTTCCAGAATATCTTTTTTTTTTTCTTTCTTTCTTTATTTTAGAGAGAGAGGAAGGGAGAGGGAGAGAGAAACATTGATGAGAGAGAGCATAGATCGGCTGCCTCCTGCATGCCCCCGACTGGGGATTTGGCCCACAACCTGGGCATGTGCCCTGGGACCAGGAATCAAACTGGCGACCTCCTGGTGCATGGGTCGACACTCAACCACTGAGCCACACCAGCCGGGCATCCTTCCAGTATTTTTTCGTGTGTATATACACACATAAAAAAGATACATTTTCCCGTGCTCACCTCAGCAGCACATATACCAAAATTGGAACGATAGAGAAGATTAGCATGGGCCCTGTGCAAAACTGACATGCAACTTCGTGAAGCATTCCATATTTTTTTCACAAAGGTGTGCATGTATATAGAAACTAAATTTTAGAAAATGGAATTTTGCAAGAATATGTAAATGGAATGTAAGAATAGCAAGGAAAATAAAACCAGATTAAATATAGTGGATTCAGAACAACCTTATTAAACAAAATTGAATAAAAAATAAAATGACTGAAAGATATTTAAAAAACCAATAATGTGCACCTGGCTGGCATGGTTCAGTGGTTGAGCATCTATCTACCCATGCACGTAGAGGTCGCTGATTCGATTCCCGGTCAGGCCACATGCCCAGTTTGTGGGCCAAAGCCCCACTTGGAGGCATGCAGGAGGCAGTTAATTGATGTTCTTTCTCATCAATGTTTCTCTCTCTCCCTCTCCCTCTAAAATTAAATAAAGAAAACAATTTTTTTTAATAAAAATAAAAAACTGCCCTAACCGGTTTTGCTCGGTGATTAGCGCATTGGCCTGTGGACCAGAGTGTCCCAGGTTCAGTTCCCGCTAAGGGCATGTACCTCGGTTGCAGTTTGTCCCTGGCCCCTGTTGGGGTCGTGTGGGTAGCAACCAATCGATGTGTTTCTCTTGGTTGATGTTTCTCTCTCTCTCTTTTACCCTCTCTCCCTCCTGCTCTATCTGAAGATAAATGCAAACGTATCCTCAGGTGAGGATAAAATAAAAAACAATAAAAAACAATAACGTAACCATATTTACACAGATCTCTAAATCTGAATGAAATAGGAAACCTGGGAAAAAAGAATAGGAAAATACAATTTTTTAAAAATAGTGCAGGAAGCAGTATCTGAATTACAGTTTCATCCTATATAAACCTAAATGAATGCAAACATGCCTATGAAAACAATGTAAGCAATCTTTAGTTGAATGGAAAAAATGTGTTCCACAAGATAGCAGAAGATAATTGCTATTTTAAAAATAGATCTAATTAAAAACAAAAGGTAGCAATAAGGAAAAACATGTGAAATAAGATGGCAATGTGTATAAAAGGTGATTTATTGCCCTGGCCGGTTTGGCTTAGCAGTTAGAACGTCAACCTGCGGACCAGAGTCCCGGGTTTGGTTCCTGCTAAGGGCACTTACCTCGGTTGCACTTTGTCCCCACCCCAATTGGGGTTGTGTGAGTCGCAGCCACTCGATGTGTTTCTCTCTCTTCCCCCCTCTCTCCCTCTAGCTCTATCTGAAGACAAATGCAAAAATGCCCTCGGGTAAGGATTTTAAAAAAAGAAAACTAAAGGTGATTTATCACAGAAAGATGTATTTTCCCTATTAAAAAGTAAACATAACAAATTACAGACATGCATCTCACTTTTCTCATTGAATAGGTGCATAATTGTTCATTGTGTGGATATACCGAATATATTTAGCCACTCCCTAACTGCTGGACATTTGTTTTCACAGTATTTCGCACATCTTACTCCAAAATTATGTGACCATATATATACCTTTTCAGTAGTTCTTAAAACCTTTTGGAGTGGTATTGGCTATAAAGAAAAACATTAGCTTTGAATAGAACTTGCTGAGTAACTGTATTGTTCATATTTCAGGTTGCTCTTCTTTTATTAGAAAAAGAAGTATTAGATAAAAATGATATGATTGAACTTTTGGGCCCCAGACCATTTGCGGAAAAATCTACCTATGAAGAATTTGTGGAAGGCACTGGCAGCTTGGATGAGGACACTTCACTTCCAGAGGGTCTGAAGGACTGGAACAAAGAGCGGGAGAAGGAGAAAGAGGAGTCCCCAGAAGAGAAAATCGCCAATCAGATCCATGGAGGGAGGCCATTTTAGCTTGTATTGTGGTTTCAGTTTGCACCTTATTTCAACTCTGGCTTTGTCAGAAGAATGAGAACACCGCTAGGTTGATCCTAACCAGCTGCTGACCAGCTGAAGTGGTGGGAAGAGGAGTACTTAATCCTCAGCTTCAGAAGTCCCAGTAGGGGTTGCAGGGTGATTTTCCCTAAGGCCCTGGTTTCGGACAGCGGCTGGGAAAGTGGAGATCAGTGCCCTGCACTGCTTCCTCTCCACCAGGGAAGCCAGCTGAACATGTCAGGGAGAGAATGAAAGCTCGCCTGTGTGGGAGAGGTCTGTATTTCACTTTCCATCACCCCAGTCGTCATTCCCATTTCTCTTCAGAGGCTATGAAATTAAATTGGATCCTAATAAGAATATTTTAATTTGACTAATACTTTAAAGGTTAAATCCAGATCATATGTTGCTGTTTTAATGGGATGGTTTTCTACAGGGAGCTGTGACATATTAAAAAATATGAATGTATTATGTAAATACAGCTTCTTTACATCAAAAATAAAGTGTAAACATTTTACATTTTTTCTCCTGACCACACAGAGGACCACTGTTTATGCTTGGGATACTTTCTTTCAGAAAACAAAATATCAGTCTTTCTGGTTCTCATGTTGGTCAAACCATTTGGATCTGTAAGTCAGTGTGTAATAATAGCAGGTGTGGCAGGCTGTCCCAAGCCATCACCTGGATTTCAGAGAAGGGCAGTGACAAACTAGGGAGGCCCCTGTGCCCTGGATCTTCCATGACTTCCCAGGTTTGAACTGGAAGCTGTTACTATTAGAAGGGTTGTGTGGTTCCAGAAAAGTGGAGGTCTGCAATGTTGCAAACTTAGGTTAGGCCAGAATTCTTACCAAAAGGTGACATGTAGAAGATGTACTAAGTCTTCCAGTGCCCCTATTTGGATATGGAAGTACCATACATTTTTGCACTTATTAATGTTTTTTTAACAGCCTCCTTTAATGTCGTTCCAACTTGCCTTGCATGTTCTCAATGTAGTTAAGTATGTTGTGGGAATAGTGACTCCTCAGACTTAAGACATCGGTGGCGTCTGGAGCAGCACTGGGCTGATGGTATGGGAGGTGGCTCAGGCAGGCTGCTCTACTCAGTGACCTGCAGAAGTCACACACTGACTGCCTCCTTTCCTCAGAGAAGCGTGTGGGAAGTTGTTGAGTGAAGAATTGTTTTAAGACTGCAGGAGGACTCACTTGGCCATCAGGGTGGTTAGTGAGTTCTCCACATAAGCAGTAGATGAGATGTTCTGTACTCCTTCCTCTTCCCACTGCAAAGAGAGGTGCTGTTCTGGCTGGCCTCAGCTGGGAGGCTGCTGGGTGGAAGAAAGTGGGTTGTGCCAAACATGGGTCATGTTTGATTCAGTAAGAAAACTGACAAAGCTGTCTGTGAGACTCAGTCAGATGGTAACCCACATATCCTGTGGCCCTCAATAGACCTCATCTATACAAGAATGGTCACTCCTGCACTCTAGGCACTGGTGAGGGTTATCTATGTTGGGGCCTAAATAGAACCTGGCCCACAACAGGTGCTATGGCGCATCTTTCCTCTTTCAAAGGCAATCAAACCCAGCACATTTCCAGGTTAGATGGGGATGGTTAAGGTTTATTTTTACTGTAGTCTCACAAAATAGTTCAGACTTCTGCAAAAATGAGATCTGTTCTCACCTCAGTTCAGTTCATGCTGTCTACTCAAAGTTAGGGCTCAGCACAAAATAAATGTAGTTACTGGATGTGAGCCATGGCATCACAGAGCACCCAGCAGCGCTAGGTCACTGTGAGGTGGCCCTACATCTTGGTGGCTCCAAATGGCAAAGGCTCACTTCTCCTTATCCAACAAAGGTCAGGGGAGGGGGCTTTGCTCAGCACTTACTAATGGATATGCTATGTTATCTTTGCAGGAGGAATCAGGATCCCCACTTGGAAGGCAGAACAGAGGGCCAAACACTAACATTTGCTTCCACCTGGAAGTGATTATGCCACTCACATTCTTTTGGCTAAAGCGAAGTCACACATTCATAGCTAACTTGGGCAATTGCCAATTACTAGTAAAACTAGCCTGGTCCTATCCTGTGGAATGTCACCTTACAAGACCTCTTACAGAAGTTGTGGCTAGTTTACAGGAAACATAAAGTGATAATTTATTGTATAGAAAAGAGCCTTCACCCTGTGCTGGGCCAGGCTGCTGGCCTGGGTTCCTGGCCTGAGCACTTATGGAAGGAAGCTCAGCAGCCCTCGGAGCCCACCCTACTGGGTGCCCCCTCACCCAAGAGCTTGCCAGATCCTGAAGGTAATTTTCTGTGGCTCCTCTGGCAAATCTCAGCTGAGTTGTTAGGGAAGGCTGGGACCCACTAGCCCAGGACATGATGTAGGGAAACGGAAAATTCTGTGGGAGGTCTAAATGTTTGTTGCTGGGAGTTGATGGGCTTCTCTTTATGCATGCACTACCTTTAGGCTCAGAATTCTGGCTACCACCCTTAAAGCCTGCAATTCAAGAAAACCCTCTTTTTTCTCAGTTCTTCTAGTGAGCTGCATGGGCAATTCACCCAGGAAGGGACTAGAGATCTGAGCCACCATTGTAATGATGCAAACCAACCTATTATATAAGCAAAGGCTGGAAGAGACAAAGGAACAGTTTTAGTGTTTTATTACGAATAAGTTGTTTCATAGGTCAATATTGCATATTCAGTATAAGGCAACACTCCACAGCTTCCATTTCACAAAGGATGAAAAAATACTGTTTCTTACTTCCCCACTAATTCTCAAACATGGTTGAACATTTAACAGAAGGTGAAGTTTATTTATTCAGCCCTTTACTGATGGCCCATAAGTTCTTTTAAGTCCTCCAGTAGAAAATGTCCTAGTTTGATCTGATTGGGTAGGACTGACAATTCTCTGCTCTTTTAATGCATTTTCTTTATTCTAGATGACTGAGAGTGCAATTTTATTGCATTTGGGAGGGGCCTGCACCCATCTATTTAGACCAGTGCATCATTCAATGGCCACCGAAGTTAAGACACATTAGAATTAAAGCAAGAAAATCTGAATTGTCGTATCTGAGACAGGGGCATTCCTCTCTATTCGTTGATCTCTTCTTCATCGTCTTCAAAAGCTTCTTCACCATCATTGGCCGTAGCTTCTTGATATTGCTGGTACTCAGACACCAGGTCGTTCATGTTGCTCTCTGCT